AACGAAGAATATTCTTTTCAATAATTTCTCATCAGGTTCTACAATTATCTCATATCCAAATGAATAATCCAAAACAAATTGGCCAGATTTAAGGTAGAGTAACTTGTTCCACAGAGCAGTTGAATTGATAGATACAGAAAGAGGTGGCTAGTCTAAATACTTTATCTTTCAACCTTGGAGTGATTATTGGACCTGTGGAAAATATTAGTTGTAGTCTACCTGGATTAAAAGTCCTTTGAATCGATCTGTTTAATTTCAGTTATATTGGCAGATGTTCTGAGAATTTGTACATTTGGGCTCGTGAGCATCTCCCAATGTGGTTAAGCAAAGGTGTAGTTGATTTATCATCAAATCAACAACTCCATTTTAACCCGTTTAATTCAGACGGGACATATAGCCAACATATAGCAATCTTTCGCAATACTACATCGTATTAACAGCAGTCTACCTAATTCCATCAGACTGAGAATCCTACAGACGGCCGAAGTAATTACTATTCGGATCAAAAAGCCAGAGTTTTGCATCCAAAAAAAAATATTTTCAGCTTCTCCTTTTACCCTGATCAACTTTGGGGCCAACTAGTTAATAATCAATCTTAAAATACGGTGACGTAATTTGAATAATGTTCATTTTTATGTCGCAAACTTATCTTCTTCTTATTATCATTATCAGTTTAGGGGTTGTGGAGATTGTTAGGTTTTTGATTGAGATCATGAACCAATTGATGTTAGGCCACCACTGAAAACCTGCAAGCACTGGACGGCCGTTAAGTGGATTGGTTGAGGTTAGACATTAACAAAACTGGATGCCGGCTCAGTGGTTCAGTAGGTTAAGCGTTCTCACGCGAGACTGAATGTCCTGGGTTCGAATCCTGCGGGCGGGATCGTGGATGCGCACTGCTGAGGAGTCCCACAATAGGACGAAACGACCACCCCTATCTACTCTATCTGACCTACTTCATATTCTACATATTGCGTAATTTCTGATTTTTATTCCATCATTTTCTCTCTCTCACCCCATGTTGATCATATTTATTCTGACCATTTATCTCACTATTTCATTTCACTTATAAACTGATTCAAGTTAGTGACTTCATATTAGTCAACCCCAACATTAACGATCTCATTTGATTTTATATAACAAACAACAATTCTTAATCCACATATTACTATTTCCAAATGATGTACTCTGCTTTAAATCTGGCCAGTGTTATGGATTATTAATTTTGGATATGAGATAATTGTAGAATCTGATGAGAAATTATTGAAAAAAATAATCTTCGTTCATATTAATTGTGTTTTAATATAGTGGGAATTTTTCAGTGATTAATTGTTGTCGAATTGAGGTCAACTTTTTTTCAATTTTTTGACGAAGTTTTGTTCTCTGAACTGAATGGTTTGGTCGTGGAGCTTTCATTGCTGTTTTGAACAACATCATTAACACAAACTTCAGGTATGATGAAAGTTCCATGATCAAACCATTCAACTTAAAGAACAAAATTCCGTCAAAATCATCCACCTAAGATATAAATCTTCTCCATCGTTTCGAAGTTAACTATTGTTGCTTTTAAAATAAAAACTTTATACTTCTCTTTAATTTAAATCACAATGAAGAATATCCCATTTTTAAGCGCAACATTAATATAATTTTATTCTCATATCCTATAATAAGTTTATCATGTTAAACAGGTTTAATTAGTTATCTACGGTTTTCTTGTTGAAATGAGTTATTCGTTAATCGTTGGATGTATGGATTGGAAATTTTATTATCTAGGATTTATATGAATTATGTTTAACTCGTTTTAAAAATTTGTGATACCTTAGTGAAATCGATGAAGTATTACATAACTGTTATTATGTAAATTAGTTGAATGTCCATTGATTTAAACTGGTAATTACCATGTAAAATGTCCATACCAAAATTTCATGTAGGCTAAGTGGGATATAAATTCATGATATCATGCGTTTAAGTGGAATCTTATATGAAATATGATGAATAAAAAAATGAATGATATGATTACCAAGGATAAAGGGAGAATCTGACGCACAGGTATTTGCCCTTTATAGATATGATTAAAACGGGCAATCAACATTAGACTAAAAACTGCATTGACAAGAACTTATCCTGCATCTAAATTGATTGTCCTGTCCAAAATAACATGTTCTTTGACACAATCAAAAGTCGATAAATATCCCTTTCATGTTACCACCAACTGTGTACACATATGTACATGTATCTATCAAAGTAGTTACATTGGTAGAACAGAAAGGAGGGCCTACGTCCTATTCAAAGAACATATTCCAAAGAGTTTAACATCAGACGGACTAAAAGCATTCAGCAGTGCTATCGCAAGACATCTCCTTGATACAGGACACGAAGTCGATACACTGAAGTCCTTCAAGTTGATTGACAAACAATCAAACTCAAACCCTTTAAAATTCGCCGAAGCGATAGCAATCAAACGTTTAAAACCAGATCTATGTATACAAAAACAGACAGTAATAAATCTTTCTTTGCCCTGGTAACATTACCCCCCCCCTATTTATTTATTACGTCATTCACCATTCCAACTCTTTCCGAATTTTAAAGTTACATCATTCATAACTGACTGATTTCAATTCACATCTTTCTTTATTACCATTAATCGATTTTCAGTTATTTCACTTCATAATCATCTAGTATGTTTTTTTGATTCCGTGAGTTCTAATCACTATTTCAATGTTCTGGAACCTTCCCTTACAAACTTTATTTATTCGAAACAAAATTTTCATGATCTAATTAACTCTATCGGAATCTTCGCCCCATCGTGATACATATATTCATGTTTAATAACCCTCTTACGTATAAGTATGTCAGTATCTGTAATAACGTTGATTTTCAACTATTTTAGGTTGTAAGCAGCTGATGAGGAACTAACGAAACAAAATGAATCCATATTATTCTACACCAGTCTTTGTTCTTGCTCTCTTTAAAATAATAAAAGGAAGTGTGTGTATAAAACAGACATAGGCTTAAAGTATTTCATTAATTTAAATCAGTTGTAAATGATAAGCTTAACTACGATACATTTTATACTGATTTGATAAGAGGTTTATTATTTAATTAATATACAAAAGAATAAATTTACAAATAACACCTACTACTCATTAATTTCTCCTTAAGTCCATTCGATGAAAGCTAAACGTGACACTTTAAAGTCAAAGTAAACTATAAAATTTACAATAGTGTTCTGTAAATATATGTTTTGTAACTAATCATTTCGTATCAGAAAGGGTTTTATGAATATTATAGTAATTCTAATCGTTGAAATCATGAGTCAATTGAAGATAGACCATCATGATAATCTTTTCTTTCTCAATTACACCTTATGTAATAATGAATTGAAATTATGTTTAATAACTTTCATCTCAAGTACCAATTTAATACAAGTTGATCTATAGTTGACTGATTACTAATTTTATGACTAGCAAGATTCACTTTATTTTTCATAAAAATAAAAGAAGAAAAGGAATGGATGTTATATAATAAAATGTAAAGTGATTTTTTTTGAAAGTCTCTTTTATGATTAACTACAGAATTGATAATGATAAATAATAAACACTATTACCAGTCTATGTCCTGCTTAAGTGATGTTACTCAATATATTACTCATTTAATGAAAATGTGTAATCGTCTTCTATAATAATTAAATGAATAATAAATGAATATAAACACAGTTATAAATATTCGTAGCTAAAATTCTATACATTTAAGCTGATTAGGTTCAATTCCTTTTTAATTTTTTTATAACTGTTCCATAAATCAATATCCAAATTTGATTAGTTCTTTGGTGATTTTAATTATTACTCTGAAGAAGTCCAGACAAGTTAGCTGGACGAAACGTTGGAATTATTGAAATTTCAATCGCTAAGATTATTTCAAATATAATAATGTTCCATAAATGGTTACAGTTTAAAGTAGTCGAAATTTAAGTAAAAAAATCAACGTCAACCTAGTTCATTGATATTTCTTTTTTTATTAACAAAATTTATTTCTATGTCATTTCAGCCATGTTATTTTCTATTGAGTATTGTTTCAATAGGGAAGTAACATGTTAATTAATGTATGTTATATTATATGATAATGGGTATATAACGAATCATAACTCTGCTACTTCATACCATTGAATTAATACATTTAAATGTCAGTATATGTTCCGTATATAGAAGAATCCATGATAATAATAGGTTAGGATTGTTTTGATATTATTAGTAGATTTATTTAAGTGAATTAGACAGTAATCTGAATTAATTGAGTCAGAGTATGCTACTTGTGGTAATAAGATGTAGTGTTCTGTGTCAACAGTTTAATTTCTGTACGTACCAGAACTTCATACGATATAGTGATGTATTATTTTGAATGCTGGTGTAATGTATAGTGATTTGAATATGTGCGTAAACTGAATTTTTAAGAAAAGACATTTAATATTTAAAAGTTTATTGACTTTAAATTCCAGGTGCTGATTGAACTTAAAATGTAAACTTCTAATACAAATCTAAAATTGTTACAAATATTTTAAATCGGATATTTATAAGCAAAGATGGATGGTGGCTGGAAGTGGAATGTAGTACGTCCTATTATGAACTCGTCAGCTGGATGTACCTATATCTTAGAGTTGGGAAGATTCAGGCAAACAATACCAAACAGATATTTATAATTTGCAATGCTATTAATTAATTATTTTGAATAAATATGGAAAGTGGACTTATAGTAAAATAAATTTCAAAATGCCAATTTTGTCGAACAGGCGTTTATACTTGACAAAAGGTATTTCAAACAAGTGAATTGGCATAGTAACGAAAAATGTTTTCATATCATGAAAACTATTATTTTATGTGGGGGGGGAGTCATTAAAATAAAATAACATTTGTGTAACTTAAAGTATATATTCTAAAATATTGTAGATAAATTTGGATAAAACACTAAAATAACTGGTAAAAATGTTAACACCACACACTGACTTGTATTTTTCAGCATCTTTTTTGAAATATTGAATCTGATTCACTGATAAATTATTCCGCAAGGAATATCATCAACAGTAATACAATATATCAAACATTAACAATGTGTATCCAATAAAAGTTGTCTAAATTCTTTTGTAAAAGATCCGTAATTTAAAAGAACATTCCATTTATCAAAGTGGTTGTTAGTTATCAGAGATAGTTGTATTTTGTTTGAATTACTTGTTTGACCTATGTAGAGTAATACAAAAGAGAAGAAAAGAAAATACGACACAACATACTAAATTAAATATAGTTAGTAACATATACATATGTATGTGAACATCATGTATTCTGTGATGTTTACTTTATCATATAATAACAAATGTTTGTCAAGTATTCTATACAATAAATACCATCAGTATGATTAGAATTTAACATTAAAAGAAATTATAAAATTTGTTAAATAAGACCACAAAAACAGTAGTGTATGTTGACTTATATCTAACTTACAAGCATATTTTAAGCATATTTATTACATAATAGTAAAAAAATCGTTTGAATAGTAACTTGTATGAGTACACCTACGCGAAGCGTCTTCTGTTTACCTTTATTCTCTATTTAATTTTATAAACATGTGTCTCTCTATCAATCTCTATATCAATCTGTTAAAGCATATGAATTTATACATGACCAGTAAAAACCTAAAATTCACGTAATAAAGATAAGTGAACATAATTTACACTACATTTAAATAATGTTTGTACTTGTAAACGGGAACAGATATATCTGTTTCTATGTATAAATATACAATAACTGATTGTGATCGTTAATGACTCTAAGGCAAAATAACTGATTGTAGATAATTCAGATTAGTTACCTCAACGAATCTAATCAAATATATAATAAAATATTTGGTCAATGAATGTTTCTTGGTTAATTCTAGGGATTTTTTGGAAAAAGTATGCATAAGCTGAGGTTAGACGCGTTCGCGCGAGAGACCGAAGTCCCTGGGTTCGGATACTGCGTGCGGAACCATGGGCGCGAGTCCTATACTGCGACAAAACGGTCGTCCAGTGCTTCTAGGTCCACAGTGGTGGTTTAACATTGATCGATTTATGATCTCAATTAGAAATTCTTTTCTTTACACATTGTTCTGCGTTGATGGAAGAACAGCCTAATTTCTACACAAACCTCGATTCTCTTTTCTATCGTTTTAATTGTATATCTGAAGTTGCTTTTATACTTGAACGATATTCTTTATAGTAAAGCTACTGACATGTTCGTGTGGTAAGCTATTATTTTGCGACTTCACATTCGGTTCTATAAATAAAACTACGATTGTCTTCTTCATCTTCTTCGCCACACTAATTAGATTAAAACCTTCAGTTGTTGCATAGAGGAATTGTTAATTAAGACTCATCAGAAATCAAAATACATTTTAGATCATCAGTTGTGTATCGATTACAATTATCATAGTTCAGGAATAAAGTGAACAGAGATCATAGTAAAGAAATATATCGGAAGCTCGTGATCAGAATTGACAGTAAGTAAATTAATGTAACGAAAATGGATAATGATTTTCTTTCTCCTGAATCGTATTTTGGGTTCACGTATCCTAATCAACTACAACTAACGATTTGTACTCGTCCAATGTTGACAGTGAATCTAAAACATAGATTGTCTAATGTAGTTATTTCTTACTATGTATAAAAACCCAACATTTTATATTGAAGTTACACTGACTGATATTTTAAGAGTTCACTATTCCATACTACGAAACAACTTTTACTGTGTTTAAGTGAAGGTATATTCAAGATATTAAAGAGTTTAATCTGAGATGAATATCATTCAGTTATTGCCCTTAATGTGTCATATCTACCAAAATTAATCTAGGAAAGATGACCAGGCTTTAAAAATTTCAGATAGTACAAATGGTATTCTCAAGAACTAGATACAATAATAATGAAATACTTTCACAAAAAAGTAGATCCAGATTCTTTTGCTAACTTGATTGTACACATAGTCAATGAACGGATAATCAACCAGATAACAAAGTAACTAAATATGTCTAATTTGTTTATACCCTTCCGCTTGGTACTTTTTAAACCTAATTATTTTCTAATTTAATTATATTTTGTTGTTAAGCTCTGAAATAATTTATTTTTCATCACTTTAGATCTAGTATCAATCATATGATTAATATCAATCCGTTTACTACGTAATCTCGAATTAATTTATTATTGTCACAGTTTATTTTACTCACAATCTGAATAGAGTATACTTTACATCTCTACCAGCTTTAATTATGTATATTCTCCGATTACCTTGTCTCATTAGTTCGACGTGATTACTATGGAATTTGTTTTGAATTTATCCAAAAAATATATTCAATTTATACATATATAATTGTTTCGCAGTGAGAGTTAATTCCTTTAATTATTTTAGATACGGCTTACTGACGAGTGTTAATGAGCCCAAAACCTGGGTCAAAAGTTTCTAGCCGACTACTTCCAACAACCTAACAGCAAAATATAATCAATGCGATATCGAGTCATTTCGAGGAGTGGTCACGTTATGACTTTTTTGATGAAATTGTATTAGCCTTAAAAACTAAAAAAACATGGTAATCATCATTTTTCGGTGATCAATCATTGTAAACAATCCATTCACTTTAAAAGTCAGGATAGTAAACATATAAACATTTGTAAATTGCTCACAACCTATACTCAAGGAACTTGATCTAACTGTTTATATGCTTGGTAATTCAGATTACCCAGAAAATCAACTGAACATTTAACATAGGTAAACGTAGCGAAATGTTGACCTGAGCAATAAAATCTCTATTAAGTATCTAAATTTTAGTGTTAGTTATCTTCTAGTAATTCTTAGATATTAAGAAAGAGAGCATTTACATTGGAATACCGTAGAATACTGCTGCTGAATTAATCATTTTTATTTAGACAGTTTCATAGAAGTAATCACAATTAAGTATTTAAAAACACGATAGACCACAAAACATGAATTCAGTAAACATGTCAGTCTGATGTAGTATACATTTTTCAGAATAAGAATATTAAAGTAAACTGCATTTATTATCATAAAGGGGATTTTCTGGATATTATATTAAATTAATAGTTGAATTCATGATTTAATTAAAGCTAGACCACCATGGAAAACCTGAAAGTACTGGACGGCCTTTTTGTCTTAGTATGGGACTCCTCAGAAGTGCGCATCCACGATTCCGCCCGCGGGATTTGAACCCAGGACCTGTTGGACTCATGAATTCAACTATAAAACTGAAATTATTTATTACGATGATGGTAATTATTGGAGGGAAGTTGACTGAATAAACACGTTGAACTTTCATGTAATAAATACAGTTGTTGAGCTAAGTATTTAAATAACTCAGTCGATAAATTCCTATATTCATGGATGTATCATTTAGTTCAAAACTGTCCAAACCAATAAATATTACAATTTACCAAAATGTTAATTCATCTGTGTTGTAATCTATTTTGATTGATCTACTTCTGTATGATGCTTCGTGTTACAGTCATGCTCGTCATATTTAAAAAATCTTGGTTAAAACTGTCAATAAATGAAATAAAACAGCTGTATCTTTGATATATTCGTGAAGATTGTCTCCAATCGTAAGCTTTTTTTTATAGATTCCTCTTTTGAAGCTTCTACATAAATATTTATGAAAGTTAAATATGATCACGACATTTCGATCTGTTTGCCTGTAATAACTTTAAAGTGATTAGCTAATGAAAAGTTGTATAGAGAGTTGTTTATGTGAAATAGTTTTTCATTTGACTAAACAATGCATTTTAAAAATATAATTATTCACTTACTTGGTAACCTGATTGAAGATGTGTTTCTCACTCCTTATTTCTAATGCAAAAACAATCTGATCAAAGCTGAATACGACTACACTTAGTAAATAGTGAGGAATGTTTAGTAAATGAAAAATTGTGAAGATTATTATCAGAAATAATAACAAGATGAATTATCATTTACATCACTTGAAAGTCCTTATAGATACCTATGAATACGTATTGTTTTGATGGCGTTTTGTTCTTTGAACTGAATGGTTTGGTTGTAGAGCTTTCATCAAAATCATTCACCTGAGCTACAAGTCTTCTCCATCATACCTATTGTTCGAACTGAGTGTTTTATATTCTATAGTTAAGTACTTCTATTGATTCAGACAATCATCTCATATAATTCATTTACTAACTCAAATCTATCCGTCCATTCCTTATAGATCAAGGGAATGGTTGAGGAGAAAAACTTTATTAATTAATTGAATGAGGTCTGTTGCAATATACCAGTGTGGTTGAATCATTATCAGTTATGAGTGAAATGTCAAGAGCTGCATCATTAGCAGATTTATAAAAAACGGTAAACAAAAAAGAGAAAACATTGAATGTTACTTTTTATATTTACAACATAATTCGCTACTTCTGAAGTGCAAAACTTATCGTACTTGTACAGTGATTCAAGAAATTGAATTCATTCATGAATTCATCGAGCTTACACGTTATTACGAGCTTGCAAGTCTGTTATTCTGAGAACAGTACAAAGTATTCGCTTGTTGAGAGTTCATATAAAAGACTATTTAATAATTTACTTTGGGATTTGAAAAATTTCAAAACTCAGCATAAAAACCACTTAGTTATATTAGATTTAGAATATTGGAACACTAATCAAGTTAGGATGTTATTTGTCTGAACTGATCATCATAGTTGGTAAATGAAACGATAAAAACTGTTCCAAGGAAACCAATGCTTCTGTCATTATCTAATCACACTAAACTCCTCCACATTAATGATTATGTTTTGTGCAATCTAAATATCCTTAACGTTGACTCATTTCCATTTATCTGTTGTTTTTTGGTAAATATCAAACTCAGTCATATCATAGATAAAAGAATTTTGTAATAACAAGATATAAGGCATACGAGAGACTCGTGTGACATGTTTAGCTAGCCATCGTAAAAGTTTTGTTTGAGTAGATTTCATCTGTTTATATCATTCACCAACACACATGGTATTATTTTCAAGCATATACTCATTATGCTGCTAAATGTAACCGACTTGATGTACACTGTCGATCGAAACTTTTCATACTGACAGGAAACGTCACTAGTGTTAATAAGTCACATACTTACGCCTATAAGAATCTAGGAATAGCATTAGCTACCGACCAAGATCATAAAACAAAATCTGTCCTGAGCTATACCTTCCGAGTATTTCCAAATTGCCATTCACTCCTACTTGAGCATCTGGGCTACCTGTTCCTGCCATCTAGATATCTCAACAAGTTATCTATTTTTGTTTGTTTTAATATATCATTATGTTTATTAATCGCATAACCTATTCTGCTGCGTTTCTGAAAAGTGTACAACCTTTCGTTGTCAAAGTTACAAAAAACTCAATAAGAGATAATGTGGTTGCTTGCAATATACAACGAAAAGAATGTACATTATTCAGATGTTCATTTAGTGA